TGTATGTATGTATGTATGTATGTATGTATGTATGTATGTATGTATGTATGTATATATAATGCAGAATAAAATAATTTTGTTGTGACTCCTATTTTTGTACCCTAGAAATTCTAGCATCATGCAGAGAAGTCTCATAAAGAATATCAGCTGTGGCCATGTACTAAATTGTCATTTATTGCTGTCACAGCTGCTTCCTGTCATTATTGAACAAACTGGCACAATGCCAAAGATCAGCTCATATTTTTTGTATTTTTCAGGCCAATGGATCTCAAACATTTCACTAGAGATAGTGCTTTGCTTCAAAGCAACAGAACATGGATGTACAGATGTATCCCGCTCCATCACTAGTTTTGATGCTGTAAATCTTCCCTCTGATAGGGAACAGGATTCTTCCTTAGGAGAAAGCTGGGGAAGCTTTCCCCAGAAAAGAGAGGGGGGTGGGGGGAATCAAGTTCAGATGGAGGACTGAAAATCAGTAAATATCACCTGCAATGGGGGGGAAAAAGTACATGCTTCCTCTTCTAACTCTGTGCTATTTTAAATAAAACTGAAATAAATTTAAATTTTTAAACAAAATGGGTTAGCTAGAAAAATTGCTATCGGACAACTCCTGACTTCCAGCAAAAACTAGCATGGCTCTCCTATTATATCTTCCATGTAGGTGAATCTCTTGTGAGCATTTTAACAAGGTTACTTTGCCTAAAATGGGAGGATTTTATATACACAAGTTATTTGCCTCTCTAGGAACCATCAAATGACAAATCTATCAGTGGAATAGTTCTGTATTGGTAGGAAAAATATGGATATATCTATATATCTCCACCATCAAAATCTGTTTTCACTAATATTTTAGTGGAATATTAGACTATTAGTTTCTTATGCTGAATTTTAGTACTTCTTTAGAGTTTGATTTTTTAAAAAAAAATAAAATAGAATTATTTACTGACCAAGTGTGATTGGACATACAAGGAATTTGTCTCTGGTGCATAAGCTCTCAGTGTACATACAAGCAACAAGTGATAAATCATGATCATAATCATCGTAACACACATTCACCCACTCAGCGATAGTCATAGGATACTAAATAAGCAAGCAACATAGATCATACTAGGATACTAAATAAAGCAGTTAATGTAAATTGTAAGATAAAAGCAACAATGTTATAGTCATAAGAAGATAAGGAAATTCAGGTAGTCCTTGACTTACGACCACAATTGAGCCCAAAAATTCTATTGCTAAGTGAAAGATTTGTTAAGTGAGTTTCCCCCATTTTCTGATCCTTCTTGACATGGTGGTTAAGTGAATCATTGTAGTTGTTAAATTAATCAAACTGTTGTTAAGTGAATCTGGCTTCCCTATTGACTTTGCTTCTCAGAAGGTTGCAAAAGGGGATCACATGACCCTGGGACACTTCAACTGTCATAAATGTGAATCAATTGCTAAATATCTGAATTTTGATCATATGTCCATGGGGATGCTACTAAAAGTGTAAAAACTGGTCATAAGTCACTTTTTCCAGTGCTGTTGTAACTTTAAATGGTCATTAAGCAAACTGTTTTAAGTTAAGGACTACCTGTAGGAAAGATGAGAATAATAATAATAGTAATACAAGACTACTAGGTAGCTTGATAGTGTGTTTAGCAGAGTGATGGCATGGAGTGAAAAAACTGTCCTTGTGTCTTGTTGTTTTGTCATGCAATGCCCTATAGAATCTTCTTGAGGAAAGAAGTTGAAACAGTTTATGAAAGTTGTTGAAAAAGAGATGCCTTTTAAGTGAGGGTCGAGACCCAAAAGGAAGCCAAGATGCTAGCAAAAAGCACAAGACCCATAACAGAAAACCCTTGACATATACAAGCAGATAAATCCTACGGAAGAAGCCGACATTATCGAGCATCCAGTCACAATTCTGGAGGAATAAATCACTGCTTTTGGCAAACTGGTACTGTGAATTTCAATTACATAGCCCAGTGCTTAAGATGGGTTTGACAATTAGTTACAATGGCTTGTCAGTTCCTGCTAAGACACAAGCAACAGAGTCATTGTCACAGACTACCTTCATAAGTATCATTTGCCTAGGGCAGCGGGCAGGACCAAAAGAGCAGCAGGAGATCTGGCAGAACAGGTTAAGCTTAGTCTTAAAATTGGTCAACAACTTCTAATTTTACTTTGGAGAATGGGGTGGTTACTATCAGTGCCATGCCTTCAGATACACCATGTTGTATCTGCTCCCAGGTGAAGTATCTAACCCACATTTTCTGACATAATAAAATCATAGAAGCATAAAGTTGGAAGGAGCCATTTAGTTCTGGAGCCTAACCCCTGTGTGAATAATGGATCACTTTTCCATTGTTAATCAAAATTCAGCCCTTGCCTTTGGGATGAAAGCCTGCATGACTTCCTTTTCATAAAAATGATTTGTCGGTATGGTATTCAAGGCTATTGTACTTATCACTTTTCCATTTAGCAGCCTTTGATAATGCAAAGATGGCTTGAAATTAGTCCTTGGAGAGGGAAACCCTCTCTTGGATGAATGGCCGTTCCTTCTAAATCTGTTTCCCATGATATAGGATGTCAAGTCTTGTGGGAAACTGATTGACAGTCTGGGTATTCTTCCCCTCCCCCCTATTTATTTATATGTTTTCTCTTTACATACAACAAGTGCTTTATGAACAGCGTACTGTCTGGGTCAATTTGCTTATACAATACTACTTTTTCAGTTCCTAGTTTCTACCTCTATTATTCAACCATTGATAAAACAAGTCTCAAATTCGAAAATATTCTGTGTCTCCTTTTTCTTTTATCTCAAGTGTTAGTCTATCCATTTTTGCACAGTCTAATTATTTTTTAATAATATCTTCTTTAGATGTTTCCTCATTTTTCCAGCATTGTGCAAATACAATTCTTGCTGCTGTCAAAATGTATATATTAAATATTTGCACAATTCCCTTTATCATATTTTTCTGGTGTTATGCTTAATAAAAATAGTCTTGGTTTATAAACTAAATGCTGCCTTAACATTTTTTTCTAACCATGTATGCACTTTCATCCATTTTTTTTTTTTTTTTGCTTCTGTGTATTCTTGAAGAAAGAATGGGAAATATCTTTGTCTCTTGGAGGTGCTTCCAACTCATTTGGGACTCTTGTTTATTGTAATAATGTGACTAAGTGTAATATGGACAGGCACACCGTATGCAGTATAATGTTTTGAAGGTCATCTGAAGTTTGCTTTTATAGCAGCCAAGGATCACTCCTTGTGACAACAATACATGAAATAACTGTAGTCATAAAACCCTAAAATTAAGGTGATATTTTCTGCATTAAGCAATGACAGCTCTAAGGAGGGGAGCTGCAGCTCATGAAAGTTTATGTCTTAAATAACATTTGCTAGTTGGAAAAGGTGCTACCTGCCCAGGGCCATTAAGAGCAGAGCTTGAACCTTGTGATATTACTTGTAATAAACAAGAACAAATATGTTGGACTTTTTTATGTTTTTGGACATCAGGAGGTAAGAGCCCAAAAAGTAAGCACACACATAAAACACACAGGAATAATCAGCATGATGTTTTTGAGGGTTGTGAATTTTAAAGGTATGCCAATACTTTCAAACTTTCTCCAAAATCACAAAAGGAAAAAAAAATTTCCTTCAGCCAATTGTAGGGTATCCAGCTTATATATTTCACTCCTCATGCAGAATTAACATCTATTAATGAAGACAGGGGAAGCATGGATTAAGCATTGCATATAGAACAATTTTCTACAGCCTGCTCTTAAATTTGCATTTTTGCTGAAAAGCATAGATTGTAAGAAACCAGTGCAAAATAAAATACACATTTCTTTGCTCCTACCTGTCTAATGAGATACAGCACAGATGAAGAATTGATGCAGTAGTGAGAAGGACATCAAGAGAAGTACGAACCAAACAGAACATCCTTCCATAAATCCAGTTATCTTGAACCAGTTCAATCGCTCCAAATGGCATCACCAAAACAGATACTAGCAAGTCAGCAAAGGCGAGCGAGACTATGAAATAATTGGTCTTGATTCTCCTGTAAAATGAGATATACAAGCATTGATCCTTAAGTATTAGGCAACCCTTAGTTCTGAATTTAAAATTGTTTAACCATTTACTGTATTATTTCTCTATTAATCAACTGCAAGTTTTGTTCAATATCTGTTTATTTATAAAAGTTTCACCAAAAGAAATTCTATTTCTCCTGAACGTGAAAATTATCTAATTTGTTGGTTTACAGATTACCCTAATCATCCATACAGAACTAATTCATATTTTAGTACTTTTTCAATTTTAACAAGCTCATTTCAAGTGCTTTTTCAATTTTTAAAAGAATTTTCATTAGCAACCATGGTCAAAAAACATTATGTAGAAAAACTGTAATTTATCCATCAAAATAATGCATTTTAATTAACAGTATTCTAACAGTAAATTGACTTCATACATTTTGAAGCATGCTACTGTACTGTTAAAAATGTTTATGAATATAGGATTTTCTAAAAAGATGGTATAAAACTGTTTTCTGGTCCTGAATGTGGTCATTACTCATGCATGATAAATTTTCCTTTTAGTATTTGCCAAGCATTATAGACTGTATAGAGAGCCAGTTTGGTATAGTGGTTAAGGTATCAGGCTAGAAACCAGGAGACTGTGAATTCTAGTCCCACCTTGAGCTCAAAGCCAGGAAGATTATCTTAGGCAGGCCACTGTCTCACAGCCATCAGAACAAGGCAATGGCAAACCACTTCTGAAAAGTCTTGCTAAGAAAAGTGTAGAGACTTATGCAGCTAGCCTCCCAAAACTGGTCATAACTGAATGGAAGAACTAAAAACAATCCATATATTACAGATTCTTTAGAGTCTAAAATTAGTATTGGAACTGAGATAACTATTTCAATATAAAGCTTGTAGTTTCAGAAGCTTTAGCTAGGATCAAAACATAGATAGATTGATGCCAAGAAGAGAATAACATATAAACAAAGACTCTTGCATGTAGTTTATGCTGCAACTGTCACAACTATGAATTGAAAAAATTCACCAATTGGAAAAAATTGGAAAAAATTACCAACGTTTCTCATAAATTCCCTTGCCACTCAAGTATTTCCGCTTTTGAAATATGTAATAAAGCTTTTCTTCTATAACAGTACACAATGGACTACTCATTCCCTTACTCTAATATTAACTGCTACCTTGAAGGTATGGAGTGTTTGACTATACTACACACAAAAAAAGAAAAGAAAATCTGACACATTTTTGTTCCTCTGCAACAGCTATATAATCCTGTTCTTAAAGCACTGTACAGTAATATTTGCTTTGGATGTAACTGTCCAAGAAATCATAGATTATTAAGTTGGTAATCTAATCAAATAAAGATACTTGACATAAATAACATACATGTTTGGAGTTAATTTGCTTGTGTCTCTCTATATTTAAGTCACACTGCTTATTTAACTTATATGCATCATACAAAATGCTGGCTTGTGGGAATCACAAGCCAGAATTAAGATTGCTCGGAGAAATATCAACAACCTCAGATATGCAGACAATATGACTTTAATAGCAGAAGTGAAGAGGAACTGATGAGGGTGAAAGAGAAGAATGCAAAAGTTGGCTTGAAACTCAACATTAAAAAAGCTAAGTTTAAGGTATCCCATCTTATCACTTCCTGACAAATAGAAGGGGAAGAAATGGAAGCCATGACAAATTTTATTTTGGGGGGCTAATATCACTGCAGACAGAGACTGCAACCATGAAATTAAAAGACACTTGCTCCTTGGGAGAAAAGCTATGCCAACATATTAAAAAGCAGAGACATCACCTTGATGACAAAAGTATATATATTTAAAGCTATGGTTTCCCAGTAGTAATGTATGACTGTGAAAGTTAGATCATAAGGAACTGAAAAGGCTTTCAAATTGTGCTGGAGAAGACTTTTGAATGCAAGATCAAATCACTCAACCCTAAAGGAAATCAATCCTGTTCTTGGGAAGGACAGATACTGATGCTGAAGCTCAAATATTTTGACCACCAAATCAGGAGAAAGAATTCACTGGAAAAGACCTAAGATGTTGGGAAAGATTGAAGGCAAAAGGAGAAGGGGACAGCAGAGGATGAGATGGTCAGGTAGTGTCATCAATGCAATGAACATGAATTTGGGCAATTTCTGGGAGACAGTGCAGGACAGGGAAGTCTGGCATGGTCCATGGGGTCACGAAGTCATACAGGAGTCAGGAAGAAAACAACTGTGTGTGTGAAGAATAAAAAGAGATGTCCTATTTCAATCCTTACTTGTTTAAAAAAAATAATCATTTTACATATTTTCTCTATTGCTGATTGATATTTATTTTACTTCCTATTTTAAAATTTTCTTTCTCTTTCATTAATTTGATTTTCTATTAGCATTTACTACTGTTAAAAAATCTTCAATAAAAACCATTTTAAAAATAGAATTGTAAATGCTAGATAGACATTTGCAGACCAGCTACATATATTCCAATCGCAAACACACTGCAAATATCAGAAGTGTGATATGACACTAACAGCCAGGCATGAGTGGGATGCAGAATATTTTTTATCATATTGTTGACATTCAGTGTTGTTTTTCATCTTTTTATTTCACTTTTTGTGAACCTCTTTGAAGCAGAGATTGACGCTAACATATGCAAGGACTCACCTCAGTTGCCTGTCCCTGCATACAGCAACCATCACCAGTAGATTCCCCAGGATAGCCATAAGAATAACTGCTGAAATAAAAGTGAGCAGTGTAATCTTCTCTGCCACGCCAAATCCTTCAGTTGAGCTGTAAAGAAATATACAGATGTAAGCCCTCAATAATATAAATAGGCAGTGCCAAATTGGTTTGGTTATTCTGAGTCTCTCTACATAATTTAGCTTCTTCATCTGTAGAAACCACACTAATTTCCAACAACTAATAGTTGTAAATAAACATAATTTACAAGGAAACTGGTTTACTTACAGGGTTAAAAATAAGAAAAACAAATGTTACATGTAAGGTGATCAATCCCTAACACCACTCCTAATTTGTAGTTCAAAACTTCAGGACAAATTTTTAAGATGTTTGTTGTAATTAATTTTTCAACCGATATTCAAAACTTCTCTTCAATTAATTACCTAGAAATTAAATTTATATACCTTGGTTTTATTAAAACAGGTTATTCAGATATGTAATTTTTGACCAAAAATACAGAACTGTCAGTACCTATATGAAGATGTTATCTGGGCTAGAAAATTACTGTAAGATAATTTCCTACCTTGTTTGCACCCAGAATCCTCTCAGTCAATCCCTACATCAATTGGAGCAAGCACACTAACCACAAATAAAATCTCATTTTTTAATCCATTTCTTGGGGTGCCGGGAAAACTAGCAAGAAGCTGATAATAGGAGAACAAGCACAAAGCCAAAAGCACCAGCCTGAAGATGGTGAGTGGGACCTCATCAAAACGTTGCCAAGATACTCTCAATTTACCTGGGAAAAGACCCAAACATGCCAAGACCTTCAATGAACTCACTTCAAAAGGAAGCCATATGCAGAGAGATATTACAGCAAACCTGTTGTGATTACCATGCCTACATAAGAATTTTCCAGGAATAAGCACTAGCCTATGATGAGAATATTGGTCTCAGTCACACTCTGGGCATTCATGTTAATTTGTGTGTAAGAGAAATGCCATTCCATCCCATACAGGTTGAACTCCTCGTTCTGCTCAACTGATCACATGTACTTCTGTTTTTGTTTTGTTTTTGATTGTTTGTTTTTGGATTAAGCTTCAATATTCTTCACTAAGATTTCCACAGCTTTCTTGAAATGTGACAGAAAAATGAGAGTCCCTGTAGTAGTATATTTATATGATGCAGCCGTGTTTTGGTTCTGGGATATGAACATTCTGTTGAAGTCAGGAAAAAAAAAATATTTCAAGCAAGAGATTCAACTTGACAGTCTTGGATCCCTTATAACCAAAGCAGAATGTAATTCAAACTACACTTGTCTTTTCCATCATAACAACAGTCTTCAATGTTCTTTGCTTGTATAAGCAAAAAGAAAAAATGGCACCTATTATATAGGTGGCACCTTGCAATGCAAGAATGTCCAGAGAGACCCAACCTGAATTCTGGGAAAGTAGGTGCAATTCCTAATTGTATTAATTAGTAAATCTTTAAGTAAGAAGAAACTGGAACATATTAAACCATAACTCAGTATGCATTAATGAATTATTATAGGCAATGTTGAATCAGATAAAATGTTAATTATGGCCTGCTATAATGCTGAGATGAACAATTATATAGTACTTCAATTAATATATGAATTCAATCATTATTGTGATCATACTCTTTGGGATGGAATAACCTTCACTTCTCCTTTATAAAATATTGGGTTCTTACAACTGTTCTGTCATCCATTCATAAATTGATAGTGACAAACTTACACAGTAGCAATTTGTTGACCCTTATTTTAATATTCTATATTTGGTTGGAAAATGTAAACACTTTTTCATTGTTAGCGTAAAGGAATTTAAACAGTTCAGTTTGCAATGTGGCACATTTTCCTTTCTAATACAAAATTACATGAGGTGAATTTACACATATTTTTCAGCCGCAACTCAACTCATACCAGCTAACAATTTATGCAAGCCTGCATTGTAATCTATTATTTTCCAGACTGGAACTTAGGGTTCACAGTTATATTTTAAATCAATTTCCTAAGAGTTTAAAATGCAAGCAAAATCATACCCTATATAAGCATATGTGAAGCATATGTGAAAATATTATCTTTGAATCTGGCAGATACAGATTTAAATGCCCACACAGCTACAAAGGGCACTGAATTTAAAGTATAGTCATATGAATTTAAAGTATAGTATATGTTTTTTCTATAATTTAGAATGTTTAAATTGTATACATTATTAGGTTATGCATGTAAGAACTTTCCACATAATTTACAAAATAATTATGAAATCATGAAAAGAGATATCATGAAAAGAGATGGTATCATGGAAACTGGTTAGCTTCATTTGGCTGCTTAATTTTCTTACTTGAGCAGTTTGTGATATGTTCCAGAGTCAGCCCCGGTCATGTCTTTGTTGTGATAATTGAGTTCTTCCCTTTCTCTGTACCAATAAAAAAAATCAAATTGATTTCTATCCACTCCATCTAGTAATGTTCATGTAGATAGATGGAAGCCTGTTGGAAGAAGTTATTATCTTTTATTTATTTATTGCATTTTGGGGCAGGAGACTCCTAGATGATTCTGAATGGTTTACATTCAAGGACAGGAAACAATAAAACTTAAAAAAGCATGTATGTCTAGGAAAAAAAACACAACTTAGCAAGAAACCAGTAACTATCATGGGCTACTACCCTAATCTTAGGCCTGGGAGCAGAACCAGATCTTCAAAATCTTCTGAAAGAACTGAAGGGGTAGATATTAGGGGAATACTATTCCAAGAGGCAGGCGCTGCAAAATCATTGAGTTGACAGAAACTGATAAGCCATTCTCATTTCTGTTTCTTAAGTCATACAGCTGAACTATGGTTTCTTCCTTTTTAGGATAATTTTTGGCATTCCAATCTCCACCTCCAAGCAATATAACTTGTTTGAATGTTCTGTTAAGTTCAGACTGAATTAGACCATAAAACCCATTAACCTGTTGAACATAAACTTGGATGAATATCACACTAAAGGGGTTGTCCACAAAATCTAATTGATATTGTTTGAGCATTAAGACTACTCTGTGTCCCAGTATCGGTTTTCTTGTAGACTTCCTGACTATGTAAAAAACACCATTCTTTCTTTGTTCTTTATATCCCAAGTAGTAAACAATATGATCTTTTGACTAAAAAATCTGATGTTGAAATCCATTTCATTTCAATTTTCTGATGTGTAAAATGTCAATATGTAGTTGATACATTTCATCTTACAGTGTCTTGAACTTTCTTTTGCTCATGCTTCTTATATTCTACGGTTCCACTGTAATTCTATCTTGGCAGCCTCAGGTTTTCTTTTTCTACATGGCAACATCAGCCATTTGATTTTCCAAAGACTTTTATTCTAGCTTTATTATAAATATCATTAGTACTCCAAACGATCCTCAGCATTTCCTCAGTAACACAATGAGTGCCATCTGATCTCAGGGGTTCATCACTTGACATATCATCAATCATAGTATAACTTTTTTCCATGTGGCCTTCTTGATAGCTTATATAAATGCTTTACCATTATTTTTTCCCCATATACCATGAAATGGTCCTTCTGTCATGGTTAATCAGATAAGCATGAACACCCAGCACCTTCCTATGTTGCTGCTACCAACATAAATGCCTGCTTACTTTAGCTGGGCAGTTGGTATAATTTTCATGTCTTGGATGACTCTGCCAGGGGTATATACTCTTTGCATACTTCACTAATTTCCACATGTGTAAACTCCCCCACCCATGATGAGATCACATAGCAAGATTTTGGAGAATTTTTTAAATTATCATTCTACTACAAATTTTCAGGTAAGATGTTTTTGTACTTTTTCAGAGCTTTGGTCCACTTTAATAGCCCATCATCATTTAGTAGCTTCTATTCATAAGTCTCCTCTATTAATAGATGGAAAGCTTGGACAGTCTTCTAATATTTGAAGGGCTGCCACAAGGATGAGGGGACCAATCAGGGGTGGGATTCAACTGGTATAACTACTGGTTTGGAGATTACATTTTGCATGTGCATGTGTGCACATGTGAAACGTCATTAGCTGTGCTGCCCAGACAGCTGATAAGTGCTGCGCGTGGATGCACAGCATTTGAAAAGGCACTTTTTTCCTGCTTTTTCAACCTCAGCTGTGCTACGCAAAGCAGCTGAGGTTGAAAAAGCAGGAAATAAAGGACAGGTAAGAGCAGATACAGAACCGGTTCTGTGTCTGCTGCTCTTGAAAGCTACCAGTTCTATAGAGCCAGGCAGAACCAGTAGCATTCCATCCCTGGGGCCAACCTATTATCAAAGCACCTGTAGGCAGGACAGGAAACAATGGATGGAAACTAACCAGGGAGAGAACTAAGAAGAAAATTACTAACAGTGAAAACAATTAACCAGTGGAACAAATTGCCTTTGGAAATTGTGGCTGCTCCATCACTGGAGACTTTTAAGAAGAGATTGGTCAGCTATTTGTCAGAAATAGTATAGGTCTCCTGCAAGAACAGGGGATTGGACTGAATGACTTCCAAGGTCCATTCCAACTTTATTACTGCCTTACAATTTAAGTCACACCTAACCTTTGACATTACTAGTCCCACTACCATTGTATTCAACATAACTATTAAATTTCTTGACCTTATGGAGGAATTCCTCTTGCAATTTTGCATTATGTATAAGTAGCGCTCCCAATTCTGTGCTGACTCTCTACAATCAAAAAAGGCTTTCCAATTCAGATGTTATACATGGTAGAAGTGCAGATCACAAAGGCCTTAAAGACAGGGATTCATCTATGATTCCTTTCCATATGGTTACTCTATCCATGCAAATAGCACATCAATACTGCTTACGGAACCTTTGGATCAACAAGTTCAACAAGAGCTAAGCTCAAAGTTTTTAAAATAGTTTTTCAGAGAAAATAGAAGCATTGTTTTTTCTTCCAGTTGTAATCAGGTGAAGTTTTGTCTACCACTGATTTTCAGAAACAGTTGAAGGATTTTAACTAACAGGCTAATTCTGCTGACTGTCAGCTGACTGCAGTTCGGCAATTCAATCCTGACCAGCTGAAGGTTGACTCAGCCTTCTATCCTTCTGAGGTTGGTAAAATG